CTCCAAGGAGGAGCCCCCTCTTTCTCCACGGGCTAGGATGAAGAATAATGGTTGGATGTTTTCTCAAAGGTGGTGAAAGATGAAAATGGGTGAAAAGGAAGGGAAAGTGAGTGAATAAAGGAGAAGGGAGATGAATGGTGTTTTTGGTTGATGGAGGCCCATGGGCCAAAGGCCCAATTACTAGGACTATGGTCAAGAGGTTGGAGGAGGAATGGGCACATTCTCAAGAAAAGCCCATCGTGCTCTTTAGTTGGGCTATACATTGAAAGTCCATTTTGTTTGTGGGCCTTGTATTTTGGCCAAGTAGTATAGGAAATTTGGGTGTTGTAATTTTTGGCCATTTATAGATTTAGGATTAAGCTTTCACATGTGTAACTTCATTTGCATGTAATTTAGGTTACATTTGAAAGCATTTGAACCATGTGACCGACCAAGTGGAGTGACGCACATGGCATGACTCAAATGCTTCTCAATTGCAAGTTAAATCACATCCAAATGAAGCAAGCACATGGCCGGAACCCAAATTTGAATTTTGAATTCAAATTTGGGTGCCAAAAGGTTAATTTAAACCATACCATGGTTTATCTTAACCTAAGGTTAGGCTAGCTTCTTCCATACTCTTCCCAAGCCTATATATTCTCTATGGCCGTGTAATTTGAATCACTTTGGACATTGAATAAGAATTTCATCTTCTTTGAGTTCCAAATTCTCTCTAGCCAGAGTCACCGAGGAGAATTCCTTCTCCTCTTTGCCTTGAGCTTTCCTCTTTGTTGTTCTAGGCTTGAGCTTCTTCTAATTAAGAAGCTTGGTTCACCTTGATCCTCATTTCACCCCTTCTTGACTGAAATCTATCCTTGAAGATCCTCAAGGAATTTCAAGAAGAAGTGTCTCGGATTCTCCATGGAGTCTAAGCACACCAAGGCTCCATCATTGGTGCTTTTGGCTAGCTCTTTCCACCAAGGGATGGTGCAGGCCACTTAAGGGAACCTAAGCTCACTCTAGAGTAGAGAGGAGAAGAGTGTGGTCGTGAGAACCAAAGTGACTAAGGAAGGCTTTTTGAGACAAAATGCTCGCTAAAAATGCATATATTCCAAAGTGGTAACAAGGTAGAGGCTTAGGGTATTTATAGAGAGAGAAAAGAGCATCTAGGGTTTCTAGGGGACTTGGCGAAAAATTCTAAGGCTTCCCTCACCCTAAATGCAGCCCAAACGTAATGGGCTTTCATCTCTCTTAAAAGACTAAAAACCCCTTTAGCACTTGTATTCTTTCTGAAAAGTATGTGATATTTTCTTGTTCTAAATGTCTTTTTAAGTATATTTGATCTCTCTTTTAAGTTTTTGAAAAGAGTTATATTTATAGTGCAAAGAGGATTTCAACATTTAAAAATTTTGTAACAGTTGTAATCTATTACCTGTGAAGGTAATCTATTACCAAATTCTTAAAAACTGAAATCACATTGATTTTAGAATAGAGGTAATCTATTACCAAGCATGGTAATAGAGTAGGCATATTACTCAGTTTTCACAATAGTAATTGATTACTACATAGGGTAATCGATTAACCAAATGTAAAATTGCTTATTTCACTCAAAAATCACCATGGTAATTATTACCAATCATGGTAATTGATTAAAACAACGAGGATGCAAAGTTTCAGTAATCTATTACCTAAAATGATAATTTATTAACTCACTTAACATTGAATTCTTTTGAATGATTCCAAGTTTCATTTAATGTTAAAACACTTTGTAATCTATTACGATACATGGTAATCTATTACATTATGTTTTTACATAAAATGAAAATCATTGAGATATGTTTACTAAAAAACAATATAAGTTTTGAAAATAAACGATCATAACAAGCAAACACATACAAGCTTAAGTCTTAGAGCACCTCCAGTAAGGGGTGCTTGTTGTGTATCTTATTTTTAAGCAACAGTGCTTACAAGAAATCCCCACTGGAGTTAGCATACGTGGCAAGACAAGTTCTAAAATTTTTAGCTTTGTTGCTTGGAGAAGTAATGGTGCCTAGCACTCTAAAATTTAAAATGGAGAGGTTTGATTGGTTGATGTTGATCTAAGGTGGAAGTGTACAGAGATTTTGCAAAAAGTGTAGTGTGAGGTGTCAAAAAGTGTAGTATGAGTGGTAAAAAGGTAGCGGTACTTATAAGCAATTTTCATTAGAGTAAAAATTGTAAACATATAGTATGAGTTGCTTATGAGTGACGTGTCACAATGAAACCCATTTAAAGTAGTTGTGAGTTGTTTATAAGCAACTTCCATTGTAGACGCTCTTATAAAACAACCAATACAATATCCTTTGAACATAGGCCAAAAATATAAAATGAAGCAACCATAATCAAAGCTACATCAAAGCCAAAACAAATTCTTCAATAGGGCTTCAAACTCAACATTTCTTTGATGAAATTCTCGGCCACATGATAAACAAGTTCTAGTAATTTTGAATGCAACTTCAAATTTGAATTTTAAATTAGGTGCATGCTTTTGGCATGTGTTCTTAGATTTTGAATTTAGCATTCATCCATGTGAAAACATGTGCTAATTCAAGTTTGAATTTCAAATGACATTCACGACCAAAATTCAAATTCAAATGTTTTGATTTTAATTTTCTTTGGAGCCAAAAAAATTCATGTGTAATTTTTTGATTTTTTTTCTAACATATAAAGGAAGCTTAACTCTAAAGAAATTCACCAATGATCTAATGATGAACTATGAACTGAAAATTGAAAAATTAAAAGCACACAAGCATCCAATTGATTTGGCCAAAACAAAATAGCATTCAAATTTCAAAATCAAATCAAGTTATACTTGGGAATTCAAGACATGTAAAGGATTACACATGACTCTAGACACACATATAGATTCAAAAATTCAAAATCCCCTACTAATTAACACAATGATTGAATTACAAATTGAAACAAAAACTCAAAACAACAAAACACAAGCATGCATGGTATAGAAGCCTAAAGCACCACAAGATTGGTTCAAGATTACTAGATAAAAAGATTTTATGATCCAATTGTTTTCAAGACAATTTTATATCTATCAAAAAGTGTACAAAAATTAGATCTAAGTAAAGAAACAAACACTAGACAAGCACGAATCAAATTGACATTAAAAGTATTAGAAAGAAACACTTAAACCTCAAGAAGCAACCATGGCTCTAGATACAAAAACTGATGGAGCTCCTAAGTGAATCAATGGACTAATCCACTCTTCAAGATATCCTTCACCCACTCATCACCTTGAGGTCATTCTAGCTTCAAAACTCCATGGAATTGATGGACATAAGTGAGGGAAAACATGCTCAAAAATCTCCCTTAAGGAAGGAAGAACAAGAAGCAAAGCATACAAAGAAGGTTTCCCTGTTGATGGTGTTAAGGCAGATAGTTTCCTCTAGCTTCCTTGACTCTGAATTTTGAGAGAGAATTCCTGAAAATGAAAGCATCATATAACCCAAAGTGAATGAAATTACATGCATAGGAGTCTTATATAGAGCTAGGAAACATCTAGGAGAAGCTAAGTTAACCTAGAGTTTAAATTAAACCATGATATGGTTTAATTAAACTCTAAGCGCCATATTTGAATTCAAAATACAAATTTGGTCCAAAATTTGGCTTCCCCATGTGCTCTTGAATTTTAGCCATGTGATAGTTGTATTTAGATATATGATTTAGGAGGCATTTGGAGTTGCATTTGAAGCATGCCATGTGCGCCACCCTTGGCCGGTCACATGGTGATTCAAATGCACTCTAAATAAGTCTTAAATCACATTTAGATGTAATCACATGCTAGCTAGGCTCCACCCTATCTAATTGGCCCAAATACACGACCTAAATAATTCCTTACTCTACTTGGTCAAAATACAAGGCCCAAAAGAAATACAAGCCTCAGTAGGCTTTAAATCCTACACTACATAGACTTTAGGTAATAGCCTAACTCAAGAGTAACTTGGGCCCACCATCCTCAACACTGGCCCAATCCTCCTATATTCTCCTAGCCATTACCCTAATAGTGGGTTCCTTGGCTATGCCTTTGCCATCACCACCCTATGTTGTCAACTATGTACTACAGATCATATTTGGTTATTAAATAGATTGGAGTTGTGGCCTTCCAACTATAATTTCCAGAGAATGTATGTATTTGGCTATTAAACAGATTGGAGTGTAGCTTTCCAACTATAGTTGCCACAAAATGCTCGTATTCACCTTGTCTTCCATGTATCCCAAATCAAGAAGGTTGTGGGAGATCATGTAATTGAAGCAAAGATACCTGCAGATCTTCAGGGAAGTTCAACTTGTTATTAGCTTGAGAGCCTAATCACAACAAATATTGGTGCAATGGCATAACAAACCTTCGAAAGAAGCAACTTGGAAAGATGCCTCAACCGTTAGAGACCAATTTTTAAGTTCAACCTTGAGGACAAGGTTGTTCCTGAGGAAGAGAGTATTGTTAGACAAGGACAAGACAACCATAGGGACTAGAAGAATGCTTCAAGTCTATTAGAGGTGGAAACACAAGTCAGAGGCATAAAGAGTTTTTAACTATTCAATTATAATAGTTTTTGTTAATAAGTTGGTTAGCTCTAATTTTTCTTTTTCATATGAATAACCCTTTGATTGAAGAAATGGGATACGAATGTATTAGTTTTCACTAGTGAATCCAATGTAAAAGGAGAGTCCTCCTTTGGGTACTTTTTTGTACTGTACTTTCCCTATTATTGAATAATACATAGATCTTTTCATTCTATACTTGTCTTTTTCTATAGTTACTGTTGTTTGGTTCTCTTGCTAGGATTTGTTTCTCATTTCTAAAGGGAGGATCCAAGCAAAAGTGAAGGGGGATTGTGACGTATGAGAGGGGGTTCATTTCAGCCATATGATTGAGACACTACCGACAAAATTAGCAAGAGTGGAGGCAATGCTGTGAAAATCAAATTCACCCATTCTCACGACCCAATTTAATATTCAGTAAAGCATTAGGCACAAACAATTCTTTTATATTTCAAAGATACCAGTGACGTTATGTTGAAATTTTGAATACAAGACATTCATTTGATACATCATATATTTACATTAAAAATGACAATGTCACAGAAAAAGATGCAAAATACACACTGCCGCTAGTCGTGAAGAGAGAAAGGAAGAGCGCAGCTTCCATGAAGAGATATAAAAAAACAAT